TTCTGTAAATGCTTGGGTTTTTTTTTGTTGTTGTTGTTCATTCTGCCAGAGACTTAATTCTCTCACTTCTAAGTGGTCCAACCCCATACAGGTAGGCATAGGACTGTACTTTCTGCTCCTGGGACTTCTCAGGGGCGCCCGCCCTGGGCGCCGTGACTAAGGCGCCCGGCAGTGTCTGCGTGGAGTCCCCGGCGCCCCAGCCGCTGCGTTCCCCCTTGGGGACCCTGGTGACCAAAGTAGCTCCGGTGTGTGCTCTGCCTAAACTCAGCGGCGGCCCTAGGCTGCCCGCCCCTCAGATCGTCACCGTGAAAGCCCCCACCACCGCGACAATCCAGTTGCCTGCCAATCTGCAGCTTCCTCCAGGTATGGTGCTCACCACTTCCAGCTGTTCCGTCGGTCCAGCCTGCGGTGACCCCGGAGACACCGCACCCCGATTGTTCCTTGCTCGCACCTCTAAAAAACTCCGAGCCAAGAGAACCTTTCATAATCTCGACTTTGCAGTGAAAGCCGCCCATTGGGCAGAGATTTGGCTTGACAGTGAACATCATCCTCGGTGTGGTTACATTTCCTAGTTAGTGAAGGAATGTTTTCACCTAAGAGACAGTCACTTTCTCCAGGGACACAGACAAAGCTTGGAGCTGCGTATTTAGCAGGGCTCTTGAGGAACTGGCACCTAAGCACTGGGTAGCCAGAGTTAATTTCCTTGGGGTAAAGAACCACCTTATATTTCTACACACTAAGATTTGATGTTTTAAAAGTGCTTTTTGGGCCGGGCCTAGTGGCGCATGCCTAGAATTAGTCACATGGGCGGCTGAGGCAGAAGGATCTCCTGGAGTTGGAGGCCAGGCTGGGCGACATAGTGGGTTCAAGGCCAGCCTGAACTACATACGGAGACCCTGTTTCCAAAAAAAAAAAAAAAAAAAAAAAGCCTTTTAAAAGTTATTGTGTGTTAAGGTAGAAAGAGAAGGGCCGGGGATTTAGCTCAGTGTTGCTTCCTCCTCCCTCGCAAGCTCAAGATCCTTAGTTCGATCCCCGGTGCCAAAAGAAGAAAGAAAAAAAAAAAAGAATTTTAAATTTGAGCAAGCCAAAGAAATTTACAGCCTCTAGTATCAGAAACAAAAGCTGCTTCCTGCAGTCTTTAGATGTTAAATGATTGTAACTTAGAGGGAACAAGTGCCGCAGTTGACAGACAGATCATAGCCATGCAGTTGTTATTTTTGAAGCGATGTGTGAATGTTCAGTTAATGAGCCTTTGACTGCTTTTTATCCTAAGGCTTACTACTCTCGTTGTGCTGTTTCTCTTGATTTACACAGAACTTTTGCTTTGCAGTAATTTACATATGGTACATGTGCTGAATGAAATTTGAATGTCTTTCTTCAACTGACAGTTTCTTGAAATTTGTCTTCTATAAATTGTGCTAGCAAAAATTGGAACTCTGACCTCTGAAAAACTGAGCCGAGAAACTTCAGTTAGTTTTGACTTAGATGATAAAGAAGTGAAGATGGGGGCTCTTTTTTGTAACGAATGCTGTATTTGGTCATGAACATCATAGGCTGATCATACTCTTCACTTTTAATGAAATTGTATTTCAGTTTTGTGTGGTACGCAAGATACCTATACTTCTTAAGACTGTACAACACCAGATATATTATTTGTTAGTTCTAAATTGTCATCTTGTGTGCTCTTACAAAGCACTTCTAAGTGTGTTTGAATTCATTTACTCCTCTCTTTTTATAATTTTGCACTACTTTCTTCTGTTAGAAATGATGCTATAATAAACATGTATATATGTTTTTATGCTGTTCTACAAACATGTTTTATTATAGGATAAATCAATACAAGTGAAATCATTGGTTCAAATGGTAATAGTAGCCATTGCCCGGTTTTACCTCCACAATGTTGCTTAAATACATAATCAACGAAATTAATAATTTTTAAAAACTACCCATGGGATCTAAAAAGTCATTTTCGGACTTAATTAATGGTAAGAATAAGTGAGCCTTACAGGTGAGTGAGGAGTGTTGACTTTGACTACAGAGAAATGGGGACTGAATAGTAATACTATTTTACAGATTTGAGTAACTATGTCTAAGAGGGCTGTTGTTGGTTTGAAATCAATTGAGTATATGATGTCGTGCCCTGGAAACTTTAGTCTGGGACCATAGAATAAATACTGGGTGGTTGTGTTCACCATGTTTGTAGATAATAAGGAGCTTGAATGGTTACCCTTTGGTGAACAGTGGTGAAATGTAGCAATAAAAGACAGAATATTAACCCTGAAGTCAATAGACCTAGATTTGTATCTCAGATACACCACTTAATAGCTTTGTGATCTTGGGCAAGTTTATTAACTTCATTCTTGGCAGTTCTTTTTAACCTCTGACAAGTGTCTTATAAGTTGTTCCTAGAAAGACCGTAAAGATTAAGTACAGTTCATGCAGGGCCTGGATGTTACAGAACTCTGGAGAACACCATTTACGTGGAATATAATAAAGGTCCTGGATATTTAAGGGACCTTGATAGTAATTAGCTCTAGGTACTGTACTTGGTGGTTGCTATTTATCTAATATATATTAGCATCTACTAAATTCTCAACAGTCTAAAATGGCAAATCTTTAACTTCAAAGCTTACCTGCCTTCATTTTGAGGGGGCATTAGAAAAATTATATTTGTTGTTAGAAAATTTGGGTAAAATGATTTACCTTCCAAAATATTTTGAGTGTATTTTTTCATCTTTTTAAAAAAAATGGCAGCTTCATTGAGACATGATTTTTTTTTTGTTTTTGCGGTACAGGGGATAGAACTTGGGACTTGTGCTTGCGAGGCAGGCAGTGGCACCACTGAGCTAAATCCGCAGCCCTGATTTTTTTTTTTTGTAGTGCGGGGGCGGGGGGTCGAACTTGGATACTTGCACTTGCGAGGCAGGTGCTGGAACCACTGAACTAAATCCCCAGCCCCTGATTTTTGTTTTTTAAAAAGGGAACATATTATAATGAGTGTTGAAAAATTTGATAAAGTTATAGCCACAACTGTATTCAAAATATACTCATAGAACATTTTACTTTCAGAAGATTTTAGTCTCTTTGGAATAAAAATGTATGCAACGCTTCTTCTCTTTTTATATAGTTAGAATTCTATGATACCATTTTCATGTTTTTAACCAGTATATGGGGACAGTTTTCTGTTATAAACTCAAAAGTTTACTTTTTAATGGTCACATAATCCATTAATGATTTCCTTATAGTCTGAGTTTCTTAGGTTTTTTTTAATTTTAGAAAAATCACTTAGAAGTAACAGTAAGGCAACTTTTTTGTATTTAGGTTGTGATGTGTTTCTTTATTATTTTGTATGACAGATAGTAAAAGTTGAAATTTCTGGATAAAAGAAATATGAATACATCTTTATTAGTATAATCATTTATTACTGCATTTTATTGCTAACTACATGTTAGATTCTATGCTAAATATCTTGGATACAATAGTAAATAAGGTAGACATTTCCTCTTCTGGAAATCAAATAGAGTTTCTAAATTTCTATACATTACTCTGGGCTGAGTTTTACATCAACCTTATTGTTTTATATAATATGTACATGTATAAGATCAACAACAGATAGAGAAAGTGAAAAGAAGAAAGTAAAAATCACCTGACATCTTAAGGGCCTATTTAAGATATTAATTTTAATAGAGATAAGTAAAAGCTCATGGCAAATCAACTTTCATGGCCAGAAATGTTGAACATTTTTTCATATATTTATTGGCCATTTGTACTTCTGTGAAATGTCTCTTCATTTTGTTTGCCCATTTCTTGTCTGGGTCTTTAATTTTATTTGGTCAGTTTTTTTTACATTCTATATACTCTTTTTTTATACATTCTTATCTATCCCTCTGTCTAAGGAATAGAAGGCAAAAATTTCTTTGCATTCCGTAGGTTGTCTTTTTACTTATTGATTCTTTTCCTGTACAGAAGCTTTTTAATCTGAAATATTTGTTGATTCTTGTTATTTTTTGTGCAGTCCATTTATTTTAATTTAGTACACAATGAGAGATAATGGGTCTAGTTTCAGTCTTCTGCAAACAGAAAACCAGTTTTCCCTTGACACCTGGCTGTATAAGCTGTCTTTCCTTTTACTTTTGGCCCTTCTGTCAAAGATCAAATAGCTCAGTATGTCTGGGGATGTTTCTGTATCTTTTGTTCTGTTCTATTGATCCATGTATCTTTCTGTCTTCTAGTACCATGCTGTTTTTATCTCTATTGCTTTGTAGTATAGTTTGAAGTCTGGTATTGTAAGGCTACCTGCTTTGCTCTTAATATCCAAAATTGCTTTTGTTATTCTGGGTCTGTTCTGGTTCCATGTAAATTTTAGAATTGTTTTCTCTAGCTCTGTAAAGTATGTTGATGGTATTTTGATTGGGTCTGCATTGAATCTGTGTAACAGTTTTGGTAGTATGGCCATTCTGCGTATGCGTGAGGGGAGAGACACCTTTCCATTTTCTCATTTCTTTACTCCTTTTTCAGAGTATTGTTGTTTCTTTGTAGAGGTCCTTCACTTTCCTGGTAGGTTAGTTTCCAGGTATTTAATTTTTTGTGATGCTGCTGTGAATGGTATTGTTTTCATAATTTTCTTCTCATTGAGTTTATCATCAGTGAGCACAAATGCTAGTGATTTTTGTATGTTGCTACAGTGCTGAAATTGGTTATTAATTCTGAGAGTTTTTTTGGTGGAGTTCCTTGGGTTTTCTATGTAGAATATCATGTCATCTGCAGATGATGATGATTTGAGTTCTTCATTTCCTATATGTATCCATTTTATTTTTTTTTCTTGCTTGATTGCTCTGGCTAATGTTTCAAGTAATGTGTTGAATGAAAATAGTGATAGTGGGCATCCTTGGCTTTTTCTTGATTTTAGGGGGAATGCTTTTATTTTTTCCCCATTTAATATGTTGCTGGCTGTTGACTTGTCATAAATAGCTTTTATCAAATTCAAGTTTGGCCCAACTATACCTGTTTTTTTCAGGTTTTTTCTTTTTTTATCATGAAGAGGTGTTGGATTTTTGTCCAAAGTCTTTTCTGCATCTGTAGATAAGATGGTGTGTATTTTGACCTTCTATTTATGTGATGTATTACATTTGTTGACATATGTAAGTTGAGCTATCCTTGCATCTCTGGGATGAATCCTACGTGGTCATGGTATATGATATGATCTTCTTGATGATGTGCCACCTTCTATTTGCTAAGATTTTGTTGAGGATTTTTGTGTTATCTTCGTAAAGGAGACTGACCTATAGCAGTGACAGCTAACATTTTAGAGGCCTAGTGCCTGAACTGCAACCCAAAGCTCACTTAATTATAGTAAAGTGTCC